AGCATGCATCACCCCTGCCCAGCTTTTCTTATTACTATTTCCTAAGAGGCTCTTAGCAGCAGTTCTTCAACTATTCCATGTTGATATGTCATAATTCCAAAAACTGAAGGCATAACCCCAGAAATTTGTCTGGAGGAGGGCTCAGTCATAAACCTACAATTCCATCACAAAGCCTCCTGCACTGCATAGTTTTAAGGTGGGAGGGAGAGATGACATTGGAGTTTAAATGTTAATTATACTAATTCACATTACTAATGTTCTCTTTAGTGCCTATAATTGAGGATTAATACTGTATTTAAGGGGAGTATTAAACCCATCTTCACATCTTCCTTGTTTGTTTAACTCCCACCAAGTACTGATTCATTCATACCATAAATATCTTGGGTACACGCTGGGCTGGTCACTTGACTAGGAGATGCAGACAGGTAGATGGATAAGGCCCAGGTCAAGACGTTGCATTTGAAGGGCTCAGCATGTTTGCAGGAGAGGTTAGGAAATATTTTTGAAAGCATCAGAGAAAGCTAGATTCTAACAAGAAGGTTTGGGAAGGCTTCTTGGAGGGGTATTAAAGTTTCTTGAAGTGTACATAAACTTTAGACATTAGAATATAGGAAAACATGAACCAAGGAATAAAATCAAAGAATTTTTAGCAGAACCATTAGAACACTTTGTCTGGAAGGTCCATAAAGAAGAAGTAAGGAGAAATGACACTAGAAAGTAGGCTAGGGACAGGTCTTGGATGGTCTTGATTATGATGGCAAGAAGTGTGGCCTTCCTGCAGTTAGTAATAAAAGGTTAGCTCTTCAGAGTTTTTAAGCAAAGGAGTAAGAGAGTTGGGTCCACTTGAAGAAGTTATCCACAAAAGCTTTGTTGGGCCCCTTGTGCCAAACATGGTCTTGTTTTCTACCCTGAGATGTGGAACAATTTGGGATCCGCACAAAATCATAATGAGAAGGTGGGCATTTAAAAAAAAGAGATAAAGAATGTTGCTGTCTACAGTAACCAGTTCTAAGAAGCTGCAGCTCATGAAATCACCGGTCACTCTTTTTTTTTTTTTTTTTTTTGGTACTAGGCCTTGAACCCAGTAGCACTAACCTAACCCTGGAAGTTTTTGTATTTTACTTTGAGACAGGGTCTCACTGAATTTCTTAGGGCCTTCCTTGATTACTGAGGCTGACTTTGAACTGGGAGTCTATGTGAGTGCCACCATGCCCAGTGTGGCTACTCATTTAAAAGGAGGAAAGAGTAGCATAAGAAACGGAGAAACAAAAATATTACAAGAAAAATATCAGCCTAACTAAAGAGGAGGAAGAGGAGAAAAGAGAAGGAGGAGGGGGAGAGAAGAGTCAGTCTGAGGAATTGCAGAACGGGCTCTGTGGGCAGGAAGGTCTAAGAACAACCCACCTGGAGGATGACTTTCTTCTAACCAGAACAGCAGGAAAAGAGATTTTTGGAAGTAGAATTGATAGCTTTGGTTGATATGGAGTTTGAGGAACTGGTGAATTTAAAATGATTCAGAGAGCATTTCTTTCTTTTTTTAAAAAAATATTTGTTAATTGTAGACAGACACAATACCTTGATTTTATTTATTTTTATGTGGTGCTGAGGATCAAATCCAGTGCCTCACACATGCCAGAAAAGCACTCTACCACTGAGCCACAAACCCAGCACCCCCCACCCTCATTCAGAGAGGATTTTTTGAAATCCATAAATTTCCAGAATTTGATAAAACATCACTTAAATGTTCTTACCCATTGATCTGTAATTGTTCTCCTAGAAGTTTATCCAGAAAACAATCTCAGATAAGCAAAAAATCTGTGTATAATATGCTTACTACAGTATTGTATAGTAGAAAATAAACTAGAAAAACTAATCATAATAATCATTTGGTATGTCCAAAAGAAGGGATAGATTTAAAAAAATCATGTTTATCAAAAATACTTAATGACATAGTTAACTGCTTTCATAGATACAGTCATATTAAGTTAAAAAAAAATATCAGGAGAGGGGAGGGAAAAGGAAAATATTGGCCAAATGATATTGTTAAGTTGCATGCCTGTCTGAATATGTAACAATAAATCCCACCATTAGGTACAATTGCAATGGATGAATAAAAAAAGAAAAAAAGCTGCCAGGATTCTCAATGTATAGTATGATTTCAAACTAGTTATGTTTTTTAAAGAAACTTCATATGAGTAGAAAATGAAGAAAAGAAACAAAATGTTAAGATTTTAACTGTGGCTATTACTGAATGGTAAGATTATAGATTTATTCTTTATACTTTATCAAGCATCCTTAAAATTTTATGAAATCAACATATTTTAATATATTATATATGATTATCACATTAATATTTTAACATTATTTATAATAATATATTCTAATAAACAAAGTGTTAAATGTAATAAAATATAAAAAAAGAAGTGACAGACTTCTGGCCTAATTTATAGGAATTCTCATCAAAGATTTAGATTTAAATATAGTTTATAATAAAGGTACAAACAATAAAACTAAAAAATGAAGTAAAAAGTCAGAATTGATAAAAATGAGACTATGCCTCTTTTAATTATAAGGTTTAACATAATTGCTGCGATTAAATTAGCTTATGAGCTTCTGGCAGTTAGAGAAAAATGGAAAACCAGGATCAGCTCAATTTTAATTACAATGTGTCTGAGTCTCATAGCAGATTTGCAAAGGAAATACTGTGTTTCTAAGCCTTGCCTTATAAAATACATCATTTAGCTACGATTATGATAGGGGAGACTTAGTAATAAAAATAGCAAAATACACTATGACATTTTAATAAGCTGGTAAAATAATTGTGACATGTATACTTGTGTTTCATAATGACTTTTACAGAATCGTAGGACATAGGAAGAAAACTTAGTAAAGGTAACAGTGGCCAAAAGATATAGAGAAGCATTCATCCTTCTGATGGTTCAAGCTAGATCCAGACATTAGAACTAATATCTTCAAGAACAAGTATTTCTGAAGTGTGCTTAAGAAATACATAGGTTGCTGGGCACGGTGGCCCTCCTCAGTAGTCTCAGCGACTTTGGAGGCTGAGGCAGGAGGATTGCAAGTTCAAGGCCAGCCTCAGCAACTCAGTGAGGTCCTAAGAAACTTAGTAAGAAGACCCTGTGTCAAAATAAAAAATAAAAAGAACTGGGGATATGGGTGAGTGGTTAAGCACTCCGGGGTTCTATCTCCAGTACAAAACAAACAAATGAACAAACAAAATAAAAAACCCCAAAGCAAAGAAACCAACACATGGATTGTGTTTAAATCACTCTTTTTTCTGCTTTGAACAAAAGATCTGAGAAGAACAGTTTTAAGGAGGAAGAGTTTATTTGGGGCTTATTATTTTAGAGGTCTCAGTTCATAGACAGCTGACTCCATTGTTCTGGGCCAAAGGTGAGACTGAGGCATGATGACATCAGGGCAGAAGTGTGTGGGGGAGGGAGGCAGCTCAGGACATTGAACCAGGAAGCAGAGAGAGAGCTCCCCTCACCACAGACACAAAGAACACCCCAAAGGCACACCCCAGGGACCCACCTCCACCAGCCACACCCTCCCTGCTTGTAGCTACCACCAAGTTCATCCCTATCAGGATGATTAGATTAAACTTCTCGTAGCTCAATCAGTTCACCTCTAAACATCTGTGCATGGTCTCAGGCATGAGCTGTTGGAGGACACCTAATACCTAAGCCATAGCCAGTTGCTTGATACATGATCAGTTTCCTAGGTTTCTCTCCCTAAAGATTCTAGTTCAGTTGGTCTAAAGCAGAACCTGGAAGGCCTCATAACAAGCATAGTAAGTAAACATGTGGATAATAGTTGAAGCAGGTGATCCAAGAAACCCATTTAGAGACCAAGGAAGGTGGATTGTTTCCACGTTCTTTTGGCATCTTGCCCCAAAACAGTGCTTCCTCTAGCAGGCTGTGCTCCAAGCAGGAACCTGTCATCCTGAAGTTCCAGATGAGTGGTTTCAGGCTGGGGTGTGCATCCTGGTGCAGGTGTCACGGAGCAGCGCAGAGGAACGGGCTGGGTGCAGGTCAATATGTTGACTTTCAATCACTCCCTATAATTTTTAATCTGGCATTTCACTCTATCTGGTGGGGGATCCTAATATTCATCTCTAAAGAAACTAGGGGTGGTTCTTAATGTTTCTGAAGTCCTTAGAAGTCTCAGTTCACAGACAGCTGACTCCATTGATTGAGATATCAATCTCAGCTTGTTTGCATTATTATCCTTTTTCCCCCCATAATTCTGCTACTGTAACAGTGGTCCCTTTGCCTCCTGAATGTAGCCCTCATTGCCCTAAGGCTTATGTATTTATTTAAATTGTTTTTTTAGATATAATGAACCTTTATTTTATTCATTTATTTATATGCAAGGCCTCACACATGCTAGGCAAGTGCTCTATCACTGAGCCACCACCCCAGCCCTCTAAGGCTTGTTTAAAAAAACAAATAAAAAAAAATTTTTTTCCTCTCTTTTCTCCTTCCCCCCTCTCCTAATAAGATTAGGGAGACAGTGTTATTTTTTTCCCCCTAGTTAATTGCCCTTGAATATACCCACTAGGGGAAGGAGATGCCTGCTGAGGATCTGGGGAGTAAATACCTCTCAAATTAACAAGTGAATCCTAACATACCATCAGGGTGCCCTGGTGCTCTCTACCACCGCACACCTGGAATGTACCCTTTGAAGTTCTTTTAAAAGCCCCCTGTCCCTCCTGATCCAGAGAGTCACAGCCTTTGGGACAGGAGTCCCCTGTGTTTCTCCTTTGCTAGCAACACAATAAAACTTCTTTTCCCTTTTTTTCTCAAAACCATGTCCTTATTATTAAATTGGCATTGATTGGCATTGGGGACAAGGACCGAGCTTTCGGTTACACTACTTTTAGTACATGTATGCATCAGACATAGAACACGATTCTCTGGTGGGGCACCAGGGAAGTAAACAGTGGCTTACAAAATAGGAGGCTGCCTAGTCCCACAATGGCTATTTGCAGGATGGAGAGCCCAGAAACCAGTAGCTGCTCAGTCCAAGAGTTGGAGTCTCGGAATGAGAGGGAACAGTGGTGCAGCCCCAGTCTGAGGCTGAAGGCCTGGAAGTTCCCAGGAGAGTTGCTGCATCATGCCGCAGTACAGCTGTACCAGGGCAGTGTGACACGTTGCCAAGGGACCAAAGAAAATGCCTGGATATGGAGAAATGCCTGGAGGGAGGGTCTAGTGGTGATAGGCCAAAGAGGTAGCACCTCTGTCCAGTGGTGGCCATTTGGGTGAGTGGCATGTATCCCTTCCACAGTGCCCTCAGTTTGCACCAGTCCCCACTCAGAGAGGAGCCTATATCTTAGGCTGCAGAAATAGTGACATCACGAGCATTAGCTTGCTTACATGGCCAGCATTCCAAGGTGCAAGTCTCCATGCAAAAGAGCAGTTTTGTACAGGTAACAGTAACTTGTTCTAGTCTCCCATATGTGTAAGAGAAAGCCAGTGTCCTTCAAGTTAATATGTATCTGGACTTTCTGGCCCAGGCCTGCTTTCAGTTTTTCCTTAACTTCTAGGTCTTTGAGAATAGAAAGGGGGTATTTCAAGGACCTGGTGTTTTACTGTCTCCTTGTTCTTTTTTTTTTTTTTTTGGTACCAGGGATTGAACTCAGGGGCGCTCAACCACTGAGCCACATCCCCAGCCCTATTTTGTATTTTATTTTGAGACAGAGTCTCACTGAGTTGCTTTGTGCCTCACTTTTGCTGAGGCTGGCTTTGAACTCTCAATCCTCCTGCCTCAGCCTCCTGAGCCCTTGCCCCTGTTCTTTAAGGCTAATAGATGCAGGTGTGAGTCCATGTGAAGAGCTGAGAAAGCCGGAGTCTGATATTCACAAGCAAAGGCAGCAGCAAAAAGGGTCCCTGCTCAAGAAGAAAGGCTTCCTCCTTCCCCTGCTTTTGTTCCATCTGGGCCCTGAGCCTATTGTGTGGTGCTGCCAAAATTCAGGGAGGGCTTTACCCACCTGCCAATCTTCTCTGGAAGCACCCTTGCAGACACATCCAGGAATGTGCTTACCAACTACCTCCACATCTCTCAGTCTAGTCAAGTTGCCAACCAAGATTAACCATCACACTGCTCCATTAATATTTATCCTCAGAGATATGTAAAATTCAGTCATGATATATAAGAAAAAAATCAATAAAATGAATATATTACCAACAACTGCTGAAACACTTGTCAACAGCAATTATTTATAACCAATAATATATTATAACCAATAATAACTGAAAGTCTCGTGTCAGAAGAAAGACAAATTGTTTAGAAATCCTTTTCAGTGACACAATGTCAAGCATTGGCAAATAAAAGTGACTTGGCATCTTCTGATTATTGAAATTAGAATTGGAAGTGATTCGATCACTTGTGGTCTCGTGTGTTTGTGTGTGTGTGTGTGTGTGTGTTTCCTGGGGATTGAACATAGGGGCACTCTACCACTGAGCTACCTCCCCAGCCCTTTTTATTTTTTATTTTGAGAAAGGATTTCACCAAGTTGCCCAGGCTGGCCTCGAACTTACAATCCTCCTGCATCAGTGCCCTGTGGATTACAGGTGTGTACCATCATGCCTGGCTCTTCAATAACTCTTAAAATGATAGGTTAGGAGAGCTACAATGGACGTTAGAATCTGTGTGGTTTCCTTTCCTGTCCTTTGCAGAGAAGAGAAGTAAGGTTCAGAGTGGTAAAAGTAAGTTGATTTTTCCTCACAATTAAATCTTACATTCTTTTTTGACAACACAGGTGTTTTTAAGGGCATCTCTGCCGTAATCATACCCTGTCTTCTGTGTTTCTAGCCCTGGAGTGCATGGTGTGATATTAGGAAGGCGACAGCTAGCCTTGGGTACTTGCCAAAGTTTGCAATTCATCTCACAGAAGACAGGGCTCTGCATTCCACAGTGGGGGATCAGGCTTCAAGAGCAAATTCCTGAGCTGCTGTCATCACCTTCACTCCCTGTCACTCTTCTGACAAAAGCCCTTCCACAGGTTCCCACCGCCTGCTCCATGGAGCCTGGCCTCACTAATCTTCTGCAATTCGATCCCTACCTTGGGCCAACAGTTCAGAGCCAGCATCCACACCTCTCAGCTCAGCCACCTGTAAGACTCTTTGTCCCCCATTGGACTTCTTCACTAAAGCTGACTGGGTCCTTTTGGTCCCACAGGGACTGCCAGGTCGAGGACTCTTATAGATCCTGGTCCTCTGTGAAGATGATACTCATATGGGATTAGCCGTGCAAGAGATTGATGGGGTCGGGGAGGATTCCTGTGAAGGATGAAGGAGATGGTCAGGAGATGCAGGCGGACTGCTCTGGGGGAGAGCAGGAAGGAGTGAGGGCAGGGCAGAATTTGAACAGCAGTGCAGCAGGGGCATCCTGGCTGGGCCGGAGGGGGCGTTCCTGAGCCAAGGGGCCCACAGAAGAATCCCAGACTGCAGGAATGGGTTGACCACACTATAGGAAGGAGCTGCCGGGATCATCAGCCACCTGGCTCTCTGCAGCAGAGGCCAGGGCGGAGCATCGCTAGGGCTGTCAGGCTTTGCAACCATTCACCGCTTGTGACACCCTTACCTCGCTGAATTGTATGTATTTAAGCTTGATGGTTATTGATGATAATCATCAATGTTTATGGAAAATTTGCTGTATATCAGGTGCTCTGCTAGGTTCTATGTGTAACAGATATCAAGTTCTTAGGTCTCAAACATGAACTTTAGAGATTATTTTTTGTACCTGAATTTATATTTTGGGCCCATGTTTTCCAGATAATGGAAGTGTAGTCTTAGCCAATTCAGGTTTTCTCCAGTTAATAGGAGTTCTCATCTCTTTGGCATAGCAAAAAGGACAGGGTTAGTGTCAAAGCATGGAATACAGTATCTGGACTCAGTTCTTGCACCTCCTGCTGAGTCCTGGTTCCCAATGGCCCATCTGCATCTATGCCCACGAGTGCCTGGAAGATTCCCAAAGTTGATCTGCTTTTCTATGGTAAGGTCCATAGAACACCCCTGCCCCCATTTGCACCTCGAGGTCTCTGGGACTGCTGACTTCTCAGCACCTCTGTGCCTGTGTTGATGCCCACCTGTGCCACTGGGTCTGGAGAACCTCGAGAGCTGTCCCAGGTGCCCTCTAAGTGACTCTATGCTGCCATTTCTGCCTCACCCCTGTGGCATCTCCCTCACCTAAACTGGGTCCTGCTGCTTTCCCAGGGGACCACCCAGGAGGTAATGTACAGGCTACTCCTGTTTGCAGAAGCCCAGGTTTGTCTGAGTGTTCTATTCTACCAACATATTCAAACAGAATGGGCTGTGGGCTCGAAGTCCCAGGCTCTGGCTCACTCAGTCACATATAATGGTTGATTGTCTTTTGCCTTTTCTCTGTCCAGCCAAGATAATCATCTCTTCTGGGGTACAAAACTGGATCCACAGTATGTTCCTAAAATCTGTTATTTATGCCATATTTTGTTTTTTGCCAAGTGCTTTGCATGTATTATCTCAATTCTTACAATAAGAAGTTTATAATATAGATGGAGGTTCAGAGAGGTAACCAGCTTGCCCATCAATGCACAGCCTGCAGGCACAGTGCTGGTATTTGGATGCCCTTGATCAGAATTCAGTTTGCCCCTGGAATCTTCATAACCTTTACAGATTTTAGGAATAGAAGATCTAACCAACATTTGCCCTGTAGAATTTGTTTAAATAGAAGCTAGAGACAGTTTTTAGAATTGAGAAAACATCTTTGGCTGGGTGTGGTGGCTCATGCCTGTAATCACAGCAGCTGGGGAGGCTGAGGCAGGAGAACTGCAAGTTCAAAGCCAGCCTCAGACACTTAGTGGGACCCTAAGCAACTTAGCAAGAACCTGTCTCAAAATAAAAAGGTCTGGGGATATGACTTAGTAGTAGAGCATCTCTGGATTCAATCTCTAGTACAGAAAGCAAAAATGAACCCTACCCCCAACACACACACACACCACCACCACCACCACCACACATCTTTGTTGCTACCCTTGAAGAGTGTAGTCTGATTTGGAGGCTTTGTCAGTTTCTTGCCATGAGGCAGAGGTTGAAGCAAGCGAGCTCTTGATCCGTCCAGCTGAGTCTGTGGATGCTAAGTGGCCAAGAGATAACAATCAAATGACAGTCTTGAAAACTGCATAGGTACACACAGAAAGAAGGTTTTCTTGTGGCTTCCCTCCCCAAATGTGTATATAGTTTATATGCCTGCAAGTCATTGCATAAGCAACATACAACACAAAATAAAATACTTGAAATATGTATCAAGGAGAAAACGGCACTGAAAATTTCCAGTTGTGCATGTAATGATTAGATTAATGCAGTCAAGTAATGTAAGTTAAATGGAAAACAAGAAAACAAACTTTGACAATAAAAGCATAGAAAGAGAAAAAACAACCACCAAAAAAGAAAAAAAATAGAAAGAAAGAAAGATAGAAAACAAACTTTGAAACAAACACAAATAGCAATAAAAAGGTTTGTATGGGTATGTACTTTGTCATTTTGGTGAAAAAGGGTTTTGATGAAGAAAAAGAAAAAAAAAGAAACCAACTTCAGATTAGCAATGTAGGTGACAACATACATTGCTTGCTAGGTGCACCTCATACTCCACTGATGCAGCCACCACATTGCATTGTGGTTTGGTTTACGTGGTTAGTAGTTCCAAGAGCATGTTGGGAATAATGAATGAATGAACGAACAAATGGATGGATGGAAGTCCCCCAGAAAAAGGCTCACTGAGGCTAGTATGACTATCCTACTAATTTTTCTTCCCAAGAATTTAGCGGTTTCATATGGCCAGTGGCTCTAGAGTTTTTGAGATCGGACATTGACGCCATCAGGAAAAACGACACCGGTAAGTATCGCCATGAAGCAACACATTTTATTCTTCTAGTGGGGAGGCTGTCAAAGTTGTTTTGTTTTCAAGTTGATTTTCCCATGTGCCAGTCAGTTGTTCATTTCCATGACCAAAATACTTGACAAGAACAACTTAGAGGGGCAGAAGTTTATTTTGGCTCACAGTTCCTGAAATTTAGTCCATGGTCAGTGGAGTCCATTGCTCTGGGCCCAAGGCAGAACATCATGGTGGAAGGGTGTGGTGGAGAAGGCTGCTCTACTCAAGGTAGCCAGGAAGTGGCTTGGGGACTCAGGGAAGGGAAGGGGTCACAAGGAGGATGCAACCTTCCAGGGCACACAACCCAGTGACCCACCTCCTCTAGCCATACCCCACCTGCCTACAGTT